TCGAGTACTGTGTTGCATTTGCTAATGTTTGAGTAATATGTGGTTTAAATTATATATCTCTACGTTGTTCCGTACTGTTTTTGTTAGAGCAAGTACTAGGCTACAAGACTTTTGGGACACCCTGTATCTAACAATAAGAGCTTTTAGGTGTACGTATCATGTGTCATGAGTCATGTATGTATCATGTATCGTGAATCCCGGTGCCAGTACTCGGGTGCAGGGGGTACTTGCACATTTACAAAGCACCATCGTTGTACGACTCATCAGCTTGGGTAAAGAAGAGTGCTGGCGATAGATACCCCACGAACTCAGAACTCACCATTTCCAGTCGAACAACATGTGTCTCTGTTTGTCAATCTCTCCTTCTTCGACCGCACAAGCAGGAATTTCTGTCCAACCTGGTGACTGGAGACGAATCGTGGGTCCTCTACAAGAATGAGAAGATGAGTGGGCAGCATACTGGCTACCTCGCTCAGAGCAGCCACCCACGCAGTCGAAACCAAAGGCACACGGAATGAAGATGTTGCTTTGCTGCTGGTGGGATGCGCAGGGCATGCCACACTGGGAAATGCTGAAAGTTAAAACTGTCACCAGTGAACTTCATATACAGCAATCAGAGCGCTCGCTGCTGCGATCCAGGAAAAGAGGCGAAGACGTTCTGAGGCTGTGCACCTCCATGACAATGCTAGTCCGCATATCGCTTCCGTCACCTGCCAGGAGTTGCTGCGGATGGAGTGTTCTGCCTCACCCACCATATTCTTCTGATCTGGCGCCATCTGACTATCATTTATTCCGCTCTCTTAAAAACCAACTACGAGGGGGAAGCTTTCAGAATTACGACGAAGTCAAGATCGCACTTGAAGACTTCTTAGATGCGCAGCCGTCGGTGTTTTGGAAGAAGGGAATGGATGCGCTGCCAGAGCGATGGCAAAGGGTCATCGATACGAATGGTGTGTACATATTATTGATTGAATGTTTCTAAATAAAAAACAAAAATCAAAAACTCTACGAAAGTGTCCCATTTTTTACCAATCACCCTAATAAAAGACGATGGCATGAGTTGCATTTACATGTGCTATGTCTATATAGCAATTCGAAAGTCTCAAAGCTACTTGTTACATGCGTATATGCAGGAGTTGCTGATATGCACATTCATTTACTCATCTAAAAAGGAAACGCTGCAAGCTACCAAAGATTTCCCATCAATGAATGATGTCACGTAGCATTCAGAAAATTGTCACAGCGTTGATTGTGGCGAAACGAGAACGACCGTTTACACGGGGCATCTTATCCACAGTAGATTGGGAGAAAAAGTTGCCATTTTGGGGAGCATTGTTACCCAAGCCAGCACATCTAGAATGATTTCGGGTGATATTGAAGTTTCTGATAATGAAGAGTTTACCACGGTGAAAACACATGTATCCTTTGTTTCACTGCGAATGGCAAGTAGAAAGGAGTTGCAGCGGAGCAATACTAGAAAATGATTAGAGAGTATGCTCGCGAGCGAGATGCAGTTTTGATTGGCGTTCGAAGGGCCGCCCAGCCGCCACTCTCAGTGAAACAAAGAAAAAACCAACCTTTGATTTCCTTAAAATTTTAAGTCTATCTGAGGTGACTTTTCAATCTGCGATATCAAAAAGCTTGAACTTGCGAACTGCCTTTGCACCACCAGTTGTTCTGCTGTTCTGGCATGTCCGTGAAAAATCTTTGGAGAAATGAACAGGAATGAGATGATTGAAAGATAGGGAGAAAATGGGGCTTAAATGGACGTAGCAAATATTTTTTGCTCCTGTATTCAGTGTCATGTCTGTGAAGATGAAAAATGACATTAGATAGACTTCTATTATCGCTTATATGAAGCTATCCCAAGTCTTGAGAGTTTTCCAGAGAACAAGGAGAAAGCAACACGGAATCATGTTTAAACTTAATACTCATGCCGTGGATCAATTCCTAAAGGCAGCATCCGGGCAGGTATGGAACTGTTAAACGTAAAAGGGCTGTCGCCCTTATAAGGCTCTTACCCCAGTGGCATTGCACCAATTTGCTTTTGTTGCGAGATCGCTTCAAAATTGGCGACGGAACGCCCCGGCGACCTGCCCTCCCCTTCATTCGATAGCCAGAGTACATATCGTTTGTTCCCCGGCAAGGTTTCCACAAGCTAGGTTCATACTGATCCGAAATTCGAGAACAATTCCAGCACAGCTGTGCAACTCGAGCGCTGTGCTAGAACTGTTCCGGAACTAACGGATCAGTATGAACCCAGCTACAGCTACCGCGTTATCTCGCTGCCTTTCGCTCTTTTGAACATGTTAGCTCCGGGAGTTTCGCTGCAATCTCAGGATACTTGTCAAAAAGATTTAAAGGCAGCTTCGCAATGCGTACGCATACTGGTTCACATGAGAATCTTTTTGGGGCACAGATGGTATGCCGTACACAGTCGAGATATGGGGTCTCACCACGACTCTGCGTCTTAACGTCGGCAGCAACCGTCGATGTTCAGAACCAATAGCCCCTGGAACATCCCGTTTCCGACATTTTCATACTATGCAAGCTGCATTTTAGAAATCAGCGGGAAGAATAAGCCCAGGTAAGCGAAAAAATTTTGAATTTTGCCCGGACCTGTCTTTAGGAGCTTACAAACCATAAGACGTTGAGATGCGAAAGTAGTTTCTATGGTTACATTCATGAACGTAGATTCGTTTGTAATCAAGGACAGCAATCAATGGAAACTATTGTGGGAACAGTCGCATTTCTAAACGTCAGGACGAATGTTCATATAGGCAAATATTTCCGCGCTAAATGCAGATATATAAGCGACATATGAACAGAGGGTGGAGTCCTTCTATTGAATAAGTGTTATTTACTCCAGTAGTGCACAAAAGCAAAAAGCTGGCTGAAACGCTTTTGCTGAATTCCATGACAGGCAATTTCGTACATACAAAATCAAATAGAAAGACAGCCTTATAGTGTTGTTGAATTTAAAAAATAGGAAGAGCAGTAGGATTTGCAGAGCATAGTTTTTAATTAAATTCTGTTAGATTTCTCACAGTCGATTTTTT